TCATTGAAATTTATAATTTCGTTTAACGCGTAACATGAATTATATTTACCACGTGATTTATATAGATCACGTGACATAGCTTATAATAGTCACGTGATTTTTTAAAATTTCAGGATCGGGACAAATCACGTGATTTCAGTCTTTAAGTGTCACGCACTATACAAAATAAAAATGAGTGACGAATCTTCAAAAAATTCAAAAACTATTCAGAGTACTTTAAATTTTCCTTTACTATATACGAGACCCAAAAATAAAGGAAAATCAAAAGAAATTAACAATCTTGAATTAAAAAAACAAGTGACTCAGCAAACTTTATCAAATTTTTTTCCTTCACTTGTTAATAAAAATTTATGTAAACGTAATATCAATAAAGTTATTTGTGATGATTCAGATGATTCTGATTCTAATGATGATGATACTAGTAGTTCTGATTCTGAGTATGAAATGGAAATAGATGTTAATTTACCTCTAAATATTTATGATAAAGAAAAGAAATTATGGCGAAATAAATATTTTCTTGAATTAATAACACCAAAGCTTATTCGATGTCAATGTGGCAAACAAATAAAATTGAATCGAGCATATAGGAATAAAAACTTGATTACTCATGCAAGAAGTAATAGTTGCCAAATTAGATCTGATAGGCAAGCTAGCGTGATGAAATATTTTTCAAAAACATCAAATCAACAATCAGCAGCAGAACAAAATTCTAAAGCTTGTATTGGATTAACTAATGAAAAGATTGAAAATTATGTAATCAAAAGTCCAGCTGAGTTTGGAGGTTCAAAACACGATTTTGTAATAGCAAAGAAATTATTTCCAAAGAAATTTCCAAAAAATTCTAAATTTTCATATTCTCAATTAACTTCGGAAGAATTACAACAATTAAAAACCACTTTGCATGCACATGCTAAATGGATTATAGAAAAGGAAACTTTATCAGTTAGAAGCATAAAATGCGAATTGTTTACTCTTAATACAAATAAAATTTGTAATAATTGCATAAAATTAAATTCAAATAAAAATTTATTAAATGC